CCTACATATTTTGACACTCTCGTTTATTAAGTTGATTGCATAAATCTAATAAATATGTAATGGTACCGCTATGCGATATAAGAATAGAAATTTTAAACGAACACGATCAGGTCAAGATTTCACGGTATTGAAAAAGTACTTGTGATGACATGTATGCTTTGTGGGTACCCATTCAATGTGGAGTCTTTCCATGGACAAAAAGGTACCAGCGTGATACGTGCCAGCGACGAATTGCCACGAGCAAAATTAAATCAGCCTTACTACGCAAGGCCGTTCCGCACGATGGCTTGATTCTTTGGATACAATACTACGACGTACAGATCAGAAGCTTCGAAGGCGTAGGAAGGACTACCGAAGTGTCGATAGAATATGAGGGAAGATGAAAACAAACTTGCATGCAGCTGCAAAGTGGGACCCGTCACCAGGAGGTGCAATGGGGAGGAAATAGTGAGGAAGACGATGGGGCCTCGGGGGAGGTAGGGGTCCGGAATGACTGGGGGTGTGTAAGTTACGACATATCCTCTTGTGTAATACGGGGTACTTTTCGTTCTTCCTGTCGTGTATTCCGTATTTTTCAAGGCTCGTGGAGTCGGTCGTCCCAAGGGACGGCAAAGCGACAGGGGTAAAGGTCTAGGGTGGGATGGGGAACCACAAATGGCTACCGCTCACTTTTTCGGTACGCGATGTTAAGATGAGAATGCTCCGTCACATATATGTAGAGACCACGGTACGAACAAAGAACAATTCCATTTCTCCACCAGAAACGACGAGAAGACTGAAGCAAGAAAGCCGCTCGCAGAAGCGGTTGGAAGAAGAACATCCTTACGCACAACGACTAACCATATTCTGCACACGCGCAACACACAAGACGCAGCACAGCGTCATGTGTGACCAGCGAGCACCGCGATGGCGGGCGGCGCAAGCGGGCCACTGGCTATGAGCACCCCAGTCCCTCATCTTTACCCCTGTCCATGACAGGGGTATGGGTAGTTTTTCAAATGGGTGGGAAAATGAACTAAAATTTAAAATAAGAAAATATAAAAGTACATCGTACGTCTCCATCAATATGTATTCTGTACCCAATGAGCCAATTAAGAAATAAATGGGCCGTGTCAACAGACTGGGGCAACTTTTCTCATGGGGTATTACGGCCTCCGGCAAACATTCCGAGGAGGATGCATAGGATAGGAAAAGGGGAATGAGTTACGGAACGAAGGGGGCAAGAAGGGGTACCGGAAAATACAACAAATAAGAAGAACAAGCAAAGAGCTGCTGGATGCCACAACAGGAACATTACGAAAATGAGACAGCAAAAGTACTCTGTATCCTGGTATCCTGGTACAGAGTTAGGAGTACTTTGTGGTCAAAGTTGAAAAGGGCGACAGCCATCGCCTGCCCTGTGCTCTGCATGCAGCTCGGGAAGGAAGGTACCGGCAGTAGCCTGTAAAGAGATGGAGTTTACAAAGAGGCCAGGGTATTAGCAAAAAACCAGGACAAGACCGAATACCAATAAGCCATCTTGGGACAGGATACAATATCTCTGTAACGAGACATATAAGCAGTGATGTTTTCTATTTCCACGCAGTATTGGCAAACAACAACCAGTTGCACGACGTATTTGGTGTCGTTCTTGAAGGGCCATTCGAAGCTGTGCCGAGATAAAAAGAAATTTAGGACATGGACGACGTAATAACAGCGCTCGAGATGCCATCCGGCCTACCCGATTATATCGACAATGGACCCCGACGTCTGAAATACTTGCTCTGCGCATTTTGCATCTGCTCCCTAGACTATACAATCTTGGCAATAAGTCAAGTCTCTCCGCAAGATCCATGTTTTGTGAATGCTGGTGAGAGGACGAGAAGAATGTCGTAGTACTCGACATACAACAGCACTCCATACTTGCCTGACCGAGAAAAACAGAGAATGGGAGCACAAGCCAAAGCTTCCGCCATGCACTTGCGCCACTGCGGCGTAATCGAGGATGGCATATCCTGTACCCAGATCTCCGGGTCCTGTTCGTTCAAGGAGGAAAGGGAACCATGACGAACCGCAGTATCGTATTTGGAGATCGAACCTTCTTTGTCTTTGCTGTTCGTAACCAGACAGTTGGGATCCTAAGGCTGTACACCTTTATCTTGGTCTCGCGTGCGATTTCCTGCCAGTCATGCAGATGGTTTTTGGTTACCCGGTCTCTGGGTCCGGGACTTGACAAAAAAGCCGGTGGGTTCATTTCATGCAAGCTACCATTTTCGGCAATTCATATATTTTCAGAGGTTGGAGAAACGAGACAAAAAAGGAGGGTAAAAGAAATGCAAAAGAGACACTTCCACTTTATTGACTGTTGCTGTGTAGCTCTGTTTAGTGTGCTCGGGCGCTGAATGTCTCGTGTGGCAGCACCCTTGGGAAACTACAAGGGTCAAATGGAGAGGGACGGGGAAGAAAGGCCCCTTGTTGCCGTTTGGCGTCCAAGACTGCAAGTCTGCAAGCGAAAAGAACAGCCTTCCTAGGCGTCGATCAACAGCGCTCGAGCACCGTCCGTTCTCTTGCAGAGTGTGTCTTGTGCGCAAATTCAGACCTCGCTAGACGTTTGATGCACATGTTGAAGCTAGGAACATCGCTTACTCTACGAAGCACGGATCAGTGCACGGATGGATAAAACGATTTACCATACATGCGGCACGGCGCGTAACATGGATGTAGTCCGGTCCCCCCGGTATGCGTCCAGGTGAAGGTGAAGTACAGAGTGTAAAGGGAGACATAAACACACACGTAAAGCCCGGAAGTCACCCCGTGCATCTTTGTCTACTCCATGCATACAGTTCTTCGCGCGATTTGGTCATTTTCACCTTGTTTTATGTTTGCCACTGTGTGCGCAGCACTGACCCGGCACGGACGGATCCTGCGAGTGTAGAAAAGAATACAAGGGAAGGAAAACCGGAGTCACCGATATCCTGCATCATGACAAGAATAATATGAAAATAGCAATTGATGCACAGACCAGCTTCATATTCGCCTTGTCTCGCCCCCTTGCAGTTCACACCTTCACCTAGCGATCGTTCGTGGGGGGCAGGCCGTCGACGAAGGGGGTAGTCGGTCACCCGTCCTTCACCGTATCTTTGAATTCACAATACTTTTACGACATATTTACTTACATACGGCAGTACATTGGCTTTCGGGATGCCTTACTGAGTAAAGATGTCATATCCTTGACCGACTTTTCAAGCCTCCCCTGTCTTTACACAAGCCTTGTGTCTTGCATAAGACCCCCCAACCACAATGAAGTGGCCAGCGACATTTCGCAGTATCAAAGTAAAGGTGAAGCTGTCAATGTGAGCTGAGTATATGTGATTGGAATTGAAGAGGGTTCTGTTTGAAAAGCTATGGCTCGGTCTGGGGCTTAAGATATGAGTGAAACTACGCGGTAGTAATTCAATCGTTGAACGGTACTTTGCTTTGTCGGTTCCAACTCCACCGGCTGCGTGGTATATAAATTAACTTACATATAGTGAAAAGGCATACAAAATATTATAATTTTAAAGATTGTGACTGTACAAGCTTTGATACTGAAATGGTATGCTTTGAGGCCTTGTTATTTTTTATCGCGGGAAGTAAAATTTTGTACATCTACAATAAGACGACAAACTATAACGAGTGAACCAACAAGTAAGTGAAAAACGCGCATGAATACTCCAAGGGATGAATTCCCATATCGTCTTAGTCACAATTTCCAAGATAAAGTGCACGCAAGGAAGGTGCCGACACATGTTGTGCATGGAGCTCCTTATTTGGCGTTGAATTGCCTCTTTGGGCACGGGACGGTGGATGGGACCGCGGGAGGCAGGTGCGGATAGTGGAATACGCGGGATGACGGCAGGCGCGATCGGACGGCGTACGAGGAATACCCCTATCTATTTATGCTCCTTGCAGGAATTGCTTAGTGTTGGATGTCCTCGAACATTGCGTCATTTTTCTTCGTTGACATGTTCGACATGACCAATTTCTCATTGCGCACACAAGCGCGAAATATCTCGTGGGCATTTGGCGACAGGACACAATGGTCAGTGGACTGCAAACCGGAGTTTTACCGGAGAAAAAGGATAAGGGAAACAGGCGAATGAGAACCGCAATTCGACACGGCGGCAGACTACGACGACAACACTTCGAAAAAAATTACAACAAAGCAACGAAACTTAACGTCGAATACTCCATATACGACGGCGTCAAACCCGGCCACACCGCGGCCACCAGCTGGTGGGAAAAGGGCGCGGCGACAGTGGCCTGGTGATTTGGCGAAATCCGGATCCCAGGGCCGTTTTCCGGGTCAAATATCCCATTCTCACGGCCCGCGTCCTCTATCAAGTCGCTTTTCCTCGGGGCTATTACATTGCGGCCCGGGCTCGATTCTGTGGCGCTGGCTTGTTTGTTTCCAGGGCAAACATGCATGCGCAATGAGAGTCAACTTCTAAGACGAGGGCGAAGAGGACTGACAAAGTTTGGCAGATGACGGTAGCAGATCGGAGACAAAGTTCCACTGGCAACTTGCCGCGCCTCTGCAGAAGCTAGACCTTCACTAGATTCCGCGGGTCGGGTCAGCGATAAGCTTGCGAAATGGCCGTTTTAGGTCGCTTCGTGTCGCATTCTGGAGCATTTGTGGGACTGCTTTTGTGTTCTTTCTGCGCTCAGGATCCGACGAATTCAGCCGGTATCCTGCGCTAATTGCCAGGTGGACCTTGGATTCGGACCAAGGCTCTTTATATAGATCGGGACGTCGTGCTTCGACGGACGAAGGAGAAAAGAATAGAGACGAAGAAAAGCGCTGCTCGAAATACAGAAAAGGAGACGAGACGCCACGACCGGACGGCCAGACGACCAGACGAACTGACGAACAGACGATAATAAAACAAATAATAACTTTGAAGCATCTGGTACCAGCGACCAACACATATCATTGCAGCTGCAGCTCAGACACACCAGCACAACTGTACCCCCCGCTCAATATGGCTAGCAGCATCCCAGTCTGGGAGGTCAAGGAGCCGTATCTTGACCTCCACTGCCAGCTCGGCGAGGGTCCCTTTTACGAAGCGGAGACACACAGCCTACGCTTCGTCGACATCATCCAACACCGCATTCATACCGTCGACTTAGCTGCGGGGCCGTCGTCGCTGCACACTCTCCAGCTAGACGTGCCAGTCTCGGTGACGGCCGACATTGAGGATGTCGACCCGCGCGAAAAGATCCTGGTCGGCCTCAAGTACGGCCTGGCCGTTCTCGACCGCAAGACGGGCAAATACGAGTACCTGCACCGCTTCAGCGAAAGCGCCGAGCTCAGCAAGAGCAAGGCACCCGTCGATTTTGAGCGCATCCGTGGCAACGACGGCGCAGCCGACCCGAGCGGACGATTCTGGCTCGGTTCCATGACCGACTTTAACCTGGGCGAATTCCAGCCCGAGGGTAGGTTGCCAGTACTGGCGTAATAAATGAATAAATACAGAGCACACTCTCCAGAGTACGTCGTACAGAATAGAGTTGATACTGACTGACCCGCTCTCAGGCGGCCTGTTTCGCATCGAGGCGGGTGCCAAGTCGGGCACGTTGATCCGCCCCGACTTGACTATCCCCAATGCTCTTGGCTTCTCACCAGACAACCGCACCCTGTACTTTACCCACACGCCCGACCAGGCCGTCTATGCCTTTGACTACAACCCGGACAGCGGCGACGTCTCTAACGAGCGCGTGGTCTACAAACACAACGGGCCCGGCTCGCCTGACGGGTTCCGCGTCGACGTCGAGGGCAACATCTGGCACGCCTTTTACGGATCGGGCCAAGTGCTCAAGATCTCGCCCAAGGACGGCAGCGTCATTGGCGAGATCCGCCTGCCCACAAACAACATCACCTGCACGCAATTTGTTGGCACCGAGCTGTACATTACGACAGCCGCGGACGAAGATGCCGAGGGCGGCGAGACGAGCAAGAAGTATGGCGGTGGCCTGTTCCGTGTGGATGTGGGCGTCGAGGGCCTGCCGCTCTTCAAGTTCAAGCTCAACGCATGAGAGCGATGTCGAGCCCGTCAACGTGCATGGCTTCAACGACAAAGAACTAGTGAACAAAAAATCAAACCAAGAGCTATGAAACCTAATACAATACGTCGCTTCCTTGGTTGAAAGTGGAGGACAACTTGCAATTGGGCATCACTGCATTGACTTGATGTGTTGTATCTGCGCATGGGTAGATATGGTGGAGAACAACGTCGTACTCGCCTGTCTGACTAGGCACCAACAATTTTTTTCTTTTCTTTTTCGGCAGGATGTTCACCCACAAGGCATAGCATCAAGGAGAACCTTTGTCTTAGCAACGAGATAAAGAGATTGTCAAAATGAAAAGCATCGCAGGAAGTCTCTCATAGGTCGTCAATGACGGATGGATGGTAGGATCATGAAATGAAGAGCGAGCGGATCATCGTCCGTAAAATAAGCAATGCATCCCATTGTGACTTTAAACGCCACCGTAAAAGGAGAAAATGCTGCCATGACGATGCGATTCGCTACCTGGAATAATTGGGCTAGAATGACCGCCTTGGGATCCTGGTTCGGGACTACGACGTGATGCCTCGCTTTAAATACGGGGACATGTACAAAGTTCATGGATGCTGCTGGCCACTCATATTCAGATATACGGGGCCTTCGCCCCGAATTTCACCTCCAGACCCCCGTTCTCAACTACCAGGAGTTCTCAGCAGGTCACCGTCCCCAAACGCGGCAGTCGGTCAATACGTCGTACGTATACTCCGCATGCACCTCGCAAACTACATCTCGTCGTACGTACCGACCACTTACTCGTTGTAAAATAGAGTGCGGCAAATTAAACCCTATCGCGAGCGTGGGATGTAGTTGCCGGCCTCCTGGACATATTTTCGATGACAGGCAACTTGCACAGTATCGTCATGGTCCCTTTGCGTCGCAAAAGCAGTATCACAGGACTCAAGTAGATTGGAAGTGTACGACATCGGACTTCGTGACCGCCTTATTCCGTTCTGATATGAATCACATGATGAAATTTCATGCGAGCCTTGTGTGGGGGAGTATCATTGTTCGTCAAATTCTCCGACGTGTTTCGACTGAGGAATGGGAAATACCAAGCAAGCAATTCAGGGAAGAGGAAAAGAAAAAGGGCGTGCCCAATCTGGTTGTCATAAAGGCCTATCAAAATCAAAACACGATACAACCCTGGTGCCGGGCCAAACATTCAGGGAATTGCGTGCAAGGGAAGGAGAAAGGCGCGTAAAAAAATCGGGAATGATGGTACATAGTGACAGAGCGAATGTTGAACCAGTACGGAGTGCGATGGCTGCTGTCAATACTGGGAACGGGGAAATTGTTGGATTATCCCGTACAGACAGATGGACGTTGCTTATGGCCCTCCTGACAAGGGAAGTGGTTAAACCAGTCCCGAAACCGTTGAAAAATAGCAAGACGGGTTCCACCACCAAGGCAACGCGGCGTCACCCTGTCACTGGGATGGAATAAAAGAACAAGAATGTCAGAAACGCGGGTCCTCGGAGAAGGACCATTGGCCCGCATGTTTACATGTTCGATGCCACCCCAAGGTAATGTTGCTAGGGTGGAGTCTTGGAGTGCCCGGCAGCCTCCTCCTAAAGTTTGGTACGCGAGAGAGCCCGACCCATCACTTCTCCTCTTGCCCTCCTACCGTACCATTCTGTCATTTCATCCTTGGAGACCCGGAGCCTGTTATTCGCTGGGGGTCATTCTAGAGGCTGTGCAGCCCTCTCGTTCTGGAACCTGTCAAACGGATATGAAATGATACATCTTTTTACTACATGTATTTGGCCCCTCCCTTTCGTTTTTCTCTCCACAGTTGCCGCATTCCGAGACTGAGCAAAGAATGGGCGAGTGAGGAAAATGATGGACTCGAGTAGCATTTGAAGTTTTGGCGGCCGGCATCGCATCTACTAAGAGAGAGAGAGAGAGAGAGAGAGAGAGAGAGAAAAGTGAAAAAGGAGTGTATCCATTGTCGCCTCGACCAAGCATGGCCACGACGACGTATCAGAGTGTTGTCGATACGTTGGTGATTCGATGTCTGTGTGTCAGCTGTCGAAACTCACAAATCTGGTGAGATATGAGGGCCACAAAAAGAAAATGAAAATCAGGGGTGGTAGAGACGGAATCGAATAAGAAATATGCCGGGCTATTATTACACCTCCACCTTGCCATGAAGAGAACAAGGTTTTTGTTGATGGAAGTGATTGTGGAGCAACGGGGGGATCCGTAGTAACACCATGAGTGAGAACATTACGACTACGCAAGTTTGCAAAGAAGGCAGAGTTCTGAAACAGGAATAAGGTATCGTTGGTGAATCTAGTTGGTAGTATCAAAGTGTGAGGTGTCATGGCTGTGCAGTTCCGTGTCCCAAAATGACAAACGAAATAAATCCAATATCAAACAAAACAAAACAAAGAATGTAAGTCCAAACTCGGGACAATCGCTGATGCTCTTTTTGTGGCACAAGTAGAAAGCAAGCTACAGTCGAATCCGACCTTCGTTGCCTCCAAACCACCTTCGGATGCCGTTGTCGTTTGCGGGCGCGGGTGCATTGCTGTTGCTACTGCTGCCGGCAGCGTCGTCGTTGTCGCCGGTCATCCACTTGGGCTTCTTGAAACCCTGTCCAATCTCCTGGAACCATTTGGGCGCCTCGATCGTGCCCATGGTGTTCTTCATGCGGTGGCCGAGCTGCTGGAAGATGTTATCGTCTTCCTCGTCCTCTTCGTCGTAGTACGGCCGCTGGTGAGCCTGGTTCTGTCTCCGACCCGAGGATGAGGATGCACCGCCCGCAGTACCAAGAGTCCTCGTCCGCGCACTCGGTGCCGTCGGTAGGATGCCCGAGCTGGACGGCGATACGGCAAACGGCGTCGTGGGGTTGGCACCCTCAGACGACGACAGGATGTCTTCCGGGTCGTCCTCATAGGCAGGGCCATTGCGGCGTCCACCAGGGACAACCATGACGGGACCATGGCGGCCCCCCGCGGCGGTATCGCCTGCCCCTAAACGGCCGGCAGCCTCCTGCCGGCGCTGTCGAATCGACGTGCCATTGAGCTCGCGCTCGAGCAGGTCCCGGCCCTCACGCCACGAACCCGTACCATAGTTGCGCAGGCGGCCGTCCTCGTCGTAATCCTCGTCCTCGTCGTCGTCCGCGCCAAACTCGGTGCCGTAGCCGAAGAAGCGCCGCACGCGGCCGTACAGGCCAAAGAGCGTTGCCAGGACGGGGAACAGAATGAACGTGGGCAGCAGGTAATCGAACCAGGTGCCTAGCCGCGTGAAAGTAATCAGGCGGCCTAAGAAGTTAAAGAAGACCGTTTTCTTGTAGATGCTCGAAGACAGGAACGTCATAAAGTTGTACGACAGCGGAATGCTGAGGCGTGCCACCTGCGACGCGTACCAGAACGCCGACTCGTGGGCGGTGTTGCGCTTGACGAGCGCGCGCCCGCGCCACACTTTGACCTCGGTGATGGATATCAGGGCCGCGGCGCACATGTATAAGATCCATCCCGTGGCAATGAGCTGGCCTGCGAAGCCCACCTGGCCCTTGTCGCCGGTCCAGTGATGGACGACGGTGAGGCGGATGACGGATGCTTCGGGCAGCGCCGCCTTGACCAGCTCCGACCAGACAATGCAGGTGGAGGCGAGGGCAAGAATAACGCCAAACAACATGCGGGCAAGGGGCACCACGTGGTAGTAGACGAGGTAGCGCTGGTAGGGCGAAAGGATGGACACGCGGTCCCACAGAGTGTCGGTGGCTTTGGGCTTGGGGAGCTCGAGCCGCTTGTGAGTCGCCGAGTTGAGGACGGCCTGCGTCTCAGAGTACCGCTGCAGCAAGTAGCTCCACTCGCTCGCATAGCGAGAGCGGGCGTGACGTGCACGGACGAGACGCCGCGTCAGGTCCGCCATGTACTTCTTGGTGATGACCGTCGGCACGATCCGGTCGTCGGCGGAGGCTGCGGATGTGCGCGAGCCGATGCCCGTACCGCCTGTTCGCGTGTTGCTATCGGCGAGGCTGATGCCCTCGTTGATCTCCTCGATCCACTCGCGGTAGTCGAGGGCAGACCCAGTCTTGCGCTGACCGAGTTCGACGACTTGCAGTTCGATTTCCTCCAGATCCATCTCCGACTCCTCCAGCTTCTCGTTCAGCTTCGGTGCTTGGCTCTGCAGACGGCGGAGGCGGCGGCTCGGGGTGGCGGTGCGGATCAGGCGCCGGGGGATTGCGACGAGGCCGTGGCCCATGAGGTAGATGGCGAGGACCAAACCCCAGACGTAGGCCAGGGCCATGACGAGGCCCTTGAGGGAGTCGACGGAGAAGCCGTACAAGACGATGACGTATGCCAGCCCAATAATGCCGCTGCCAAACACCATGGCATGGTACTGGGCGTTGGAGCGCAGAGAGTAGAGGATGCGGTCTTTGGGGGCGCGATAACCAGCATCCGAGTATTCGGCGAGGATGGGAAGGATGAACCTGCGAGGAAGAAGCGCAATACGTTAGTAGACATGAAGGTAGAGGAAAGGAAAACAGATAAATGAACAAACAAAGCGAAGCCGGGCTCTCCGGGACGAAGGCAAAGTAACGAACCATGTCAAGACAAAGGTCAACCAGTAGGTGATGCGCCAGGACACACGCAGGATGGTCTGTGGCAGCCAGATGCCACGGGTGGCCTCATCGTCGGTCTGTGCACTGGAAGCAAGGTCGATGGGGACGAGTAGGACGATGTTGGCGGGCAGAAAGAGAGCGAAGAAGACGGGCACAATGAGGTAGGCAGGCGTCGAGCGCAGGGGCAGATAGAAGCGCAGGATCTGCAGGGTGATGAGCGCAAAGATGAGCATGGCAATGCTGACAAAGATCTCGGACTTTATGGGGTTCGAAGCCTCGAGGCCCGTGAGCGGCGATGCCAAGAAGCCAGCTGCTCCATCGCCGTCGAGGTCGAGGTCGAGGTCGATATTGACGGCCGCAGCCGCGCGGGCAATCAATGACATGGCGGCCGACAGGGGGGCGACGGCAGGCCGGCGCCCATCGAACACAGGTGGGAGTGCGTGCAGTGGTGAAGAGTCGTGCAGGATGATGTGAATGAGGTCAAGTGCGGAGTGAGAGGAGAGCGTGGTGGATGTGGTGATCGTCGTTGAAAGTTGTGTCGAGAGATTGGAGAGTTGAGATCACAGGTGGAACAGACAGAGGTAGGGAAGGCTACCAGATAGTGTGGCAAGGGCGGCGCTAAGGAGTGTTACGACATTGGGTCCGCGCGGCGCCCTGCGTGAGCGAGACATACGCCCGGAAAGGCAGGCAAGGTGGGTCTTGCATTACATAATATCGACGGCCTTGCAGACGATGGCGGGCGCGCGGCTCATTCAGCACAACGGATTCCAAACGAAAGACACAGAGTCCAGCAGATTCCACCTAAGAAAACACGCTACCCACAGTTGAAGTACAGCTGCTCAGGCTGCCACGCCGCCTAAAGCTTAGCAGGCTTCCCTGAATGGAAAGACCATGTAGACAGCCTGACTGACCGTACATAGTAGGAAGGAGCGACACACTCTGAAACACTGTGCCCGTACAGCCTTCCGTTCCGGTCGACATTCTTGGGCCTTTTTATTAGACGATGGACCAGAGTTGCGGCTCCGTTCGAGGCGGTATTATATGGTCTGTAGACCGTTAGATACGGACAAGATTACCGGCAAAACTTGAGGACAGGTTCGTACTTAATTGTACGCGATTACGTCCAGCTCCGAAATACACCTCTAGGGACAGCAAATGGAGGAGCTCAAAATGTGGCAGTTGCAGCCGGTCTTGGTGTAGCAAGTGCGACCCAGGTATGACGGGCGGAGCTTGGCAGGTGCGACTGACCACTGAAATCGTAGCCTCGGAGTTCTGGGATAACTCTACCTGCTAAAGCCGCTAACAGGCACGGCTCCGAAGCTCTCACCCACCTCGACTACATGTCAACAAGGAAGCAGGACACGGACGGAGGGGGGCATCACGTTGTATCGCTCCGTATCAAATGGTAAAGGCCGAACTGGTTTGAACTTGAATTGAGTCGCTGTCAGGTTGTACGAGGAGGACTCGTCCGCGGCTGGCAAGCCGCCATCAACGGGTACAAAATGGCAGCTCTGGCACCACCCCGTTTTGCTGCGCTGGCATTTCGTCGGCCTCTCAGTGGCAGCGGTTGCAGCATCAGAGTCCACTCTGCAGGCGGCTTCAGATCATCGTTTTCTACATCACCACGGGCAATGGCGAGAGATTTGGACGTGAAGCTCACGGCGCCCAATGGCAAGACTTGGACGCAGCCGCTCGGGCTGTTTATCAACAACGAGTTTGTCAAGAGCAGCAACGGCGAAACGATTGCCTCGATCAACCCGAGGTGAATACTGTCCCATACTGAGATACCCGAGTCGCATCATGTTGACATGTCCAGCACTGAACAGGAGATCTGCTCTGTGTATGCGGCCTCCACCCAGGACGTCGACACGGCCGTCATGGCCGCCCGCGCCGCCTTTCGGGACCCGTCGTGGAAGCGCCTGTCCGGCACCGAGCGCGCGGCTATGATGTACCGTCTGGCTGACCTTGTGGGCCAAAACGCGGAGCTGCTGGCAACTATCGAGGCACTCGACAACGGCAAGCCGTATACGGTAGCCTTGAACGAGAACGTGCCCGAGCTGGAGAATGTGCTGCGGTACTACGCGGGCTATGCCGATAAGAACTTTGGGCAGGTTGTTGATGTTGGGCCCAGCAAGATGGCCTACACAGTCAAGGAGCCCCTGGGTGTTTGCGGGCAGATTATCCCCTGGAACTTCCCGCTCGACATGGCAGCCTGGAAGCTTGGCCCGGCACTGTGCTGCGGCAACACTGTGGTGCTGAAGCTGGCCGAGCAGACGCCGCTCTCCATGCTCTACGTGGCGCAGCTGGTTCGCGAAGCTGGTTTCCCGCCCGGCGTGGTCAATGTTATCAACGGTCACGGCCGCGAGGCGGGCGCGGCGCTCGCCTCGCACGAGGGTGTCGACAAGATTGCGTTTACGGGCAGCACGGCCACGGGCCGCGAGGTGATGAAGCTCGCCGCCGGCACGCTCAAGAACATCACGCTCGAAACGGGTGGCAAGTCGCCGCTTCTCGTGTTTGAGGATGCGGATCTCGAGCTGGCGGCAAAGTGGGCACACATTGGCATCATGAGCAACCAGGGCCAAGTCTGCACGTCGACGTCGCGTATTTTGGTGCATGAGGCCGTGTACGACCAGTTTGTCACGCTCTTTAACCGTGCCGTTGAGCAGGTGTCGGTCGTGGGCGACCCCTTTGATCCCAACACGTTCCAAGGCCCCCAGGTGACGCGCGCACAATACGAGCGAGTGCTCGGCTATATTCAGGCGGGCCGTGACGAGGGCGCCACGGTGGCAATGGGCGGCGTGCCCGTGGCCGGGCCTCTAGCGGAAGCAGCAAAGAACGGCGCTCCAAGCAAGGGCTTTTTCGTGGCGCCAACGGTGTTTACAAACGTGAAGCCGACCATGAAGATTTACCGCGAGGAAATCTTTGGCCCGTGCGTGGCGATCGCCGCCTTCAAGACAGAGGGCGAGGCGGTCGACATGGCCAACGATACGACATACGGGCTCGGCGCAGCGCTCTTTACGCGCAATTTGGTACGGGCACACCGTGTGGCGCGGGAGATTGAGGCCGGCATGGTGTGGATCAACAGCTCCAACGATTCCGACTTCCGCGTGCCGTTTGGCGGAGTCAAGCAGTCGGGCATCGGCCGCGAACTCGGTGAGGCCGGGCTGGCGGCATACAGCAACATCAAGAGCATCCACCTCAACATGGAGGCTACATAGAGAATACCTTGAGTCACCGTGCATGCGGTGGAATTTAGTAGAATGTGCACTGGGACATATATTATATACGGAGCAAATGCCAATAGTTTGCAAACAACCTATAATTTACAGTATATTTGTGTTTTGTCCGTTTCCTTTTATGTGTTTTTCTATCCATAAATATTTTTAATGCCATATTCCAAGTCTAAATGCTACCGTATGTTATTATAAAATCAGAAGCTGATATCCAAAGCCATGATGTATATAAACAGTACAGCAGGAAATAGAGTGCCTAGATAGAGCTTTACTGTAGCACATTACAAGTCGAAGACGCCCCCTTCAAGTAAAATATTGAGCACGGCCTGCCGGTCATTCCACTCGCCCAGCTGCTCAATCTTGCCGAGGTCGAGCAGGCGGCACAGTGCCCAGTCGCTCTCGGGCAAACGGTCGACACCGTCCATGGCCGACAGGTTGAGTGTACTTAGGGCATCGACATCGGTCATAGCCACGGCGGATGGTGATGTGCCTTCGACAACAGGGCTCGTTCTCACCAGGTCCGCCAGGCGGTCCCGGAAGACGCGCCGGTCGTACTGCTCGACCGGGTTCCTGCGCTCCTCGTTGTTGTTGGCCAGGCGTGACACGGTGTCACCGACAAGGCAGATCCACAAGAGCAGGGCGCGTGCGGACCGGTTCGTCAACAAAGACACATCAAACACGTCACCCTCGCCTAGGTGCCAGCGCAGCAGGTGCAGCAGGATAGCGTAGCCGCCGAGGTTGCGGGGGAAATCAGGGAAAAATTCTTTCAAGTACAGGATGCCGCCAATGCGCATAGCGGGCTCGAGGCAGGTGGAGGTGGGCGACGACGGAGTGGCGGCAGGGGCGGGGATAATGTACAGAGCGGCTAGTGGGACGCGGTGGTTGCGAACGTAGCTCTCCGTCTGAAGGCGGCTGGTGTCGACGGGTAGCAGTGTATTGGGCCGGGGCGCTTGCGATGGGGCCGAAGCCGTGGATATAGACGGTGATGGGAACGAAGACAACGTTGGGGATGACGCTGTCAGCGTCGGTTGGGCCTGTATGGCCGCCGTTGCGGCGCCGTGTGCAGCGGCCGCATCCTGTGGTGTGACATCCTGCCGCAGTGGTCCCGGCTGAGATACGAGGTGGTGCTGCAGCCAGTACAGCTCTTCCGAGAAACAGTACGGGTCGAGGGGTAGGGGTGCCGTGCTTCTGGCCAGATCACGCACCAGCTGGACGGCCTGGACAAAGACACACAGCGCGGCCAGGGTCTGACTGACGACAGGAGCGACGCCACAGGGGGAGGCAGGGTTCGCAAAGAGTGCAGAGGCGGAGGCGCGAATGTCCTGGCGCGTGACGTCGAGCAGGACGGTGTCGGAAATGTTGGGGAACCTGCGAGTGTCGAAGGGCAGGTACGGGCGGATGGCGAGGGACATGGCACCCTTGAGGTCGGTCTTGCGCATCTTGAAAAGCAGGGCCGGCCGGACCTCATTGATAAACCGCCGGCCACCGTTCAGCTCCACCATCTTGCTGAGAGCCTGCATGTGCAGGTGCCAGTGATCGTAGCGTCCCGTGGAGCCACCCATGAGAGCAAGAGTCGTAATGCACTCGAGTGTCATCTCCGGGATGACGTGGTGGCGGCGGCGGCGGCGGTGGCTGCTGGCCGAGGAGGGTGATGCCGGGGGCGAGGGCGACGGAGATGGAGACGAGCGAAATGGTGCGGCCAGCTGCATCCTGTCGGCGTTGTTGTCGTCGTCGTCGCTGTCGCCACCGGTGCTATTTGCCGTCTCGGCGTGCTTGTCATGCTCCTTTTGATGGAGGGCGAGCTGCTGGTTGACGATGCGGCAGACATTCGACACTTCCAGGGCCAGCTCGTCGGACGTGTTGGCGCCGCCAAGAACGGCGCGCAACATGGCGCCGCACAGCAGCACACAGCGCACGGCGGCGCGGTCCTGTACGACCATCCAGTAGAACTCGCTCGAACGCGTGGGGTTGTACTGAAGGAGGTCCTCAAAGGGATAGAGCTTGCGCGGGATGAGCTGGAAGAACTGGTGGAAGAGGCGCTGCTCGAACTTGTTGAGCTGCGGGACGTGGCACATGGTCCAGGTGGGCAGGCTGCGGGCGACCTGCTGGTAGCTGTTGGCGAGGGCGGTGATGCGGGCCTTGCGAGCCTTGCTCTCCGCATAGGATGTGCTGCTGCCTTTTCGACGCTTTGCTGCCGCGCCGGCGGCACGGTTCTGCTGATAGCTGGTGCGCAGGGCAGCGGCGCTAGGCGAGATGTATTCGGCCTCCCAGTCGTCTGGCGCAAACAGGCCCATTCCGTCAAACATGGAGGTAGGATTCGAGAGAGGCGAGAGAGATTCAAGCCCAGAGTTTCCGCTGACGGTACTTTCAGCGACGGAGCCGGGCGACGTGAGGAAGGGTGAAGCAAAGGGTGAGGGGAACGAAGTGGCCGACTCGCCGGGTGTCGACGTTGACATGAACAAGGATGCGGTGTCGGAGAGCGCGGGCGAGGGATGACGATCGGAGGAGGCGGGTGCGGTGTCGGTGTTTACGGCTGGGCGTGGGCGCTGCTTCTGTCCACTGGAGGCGGCGGCGGCGTTGCTTTCACGCTTCGCTTTCTGGGCTGCCGGCTTCGTGACCAGCTTCCACCGGTGCACCAGTGGTTTTGACGGGTTTGCCGGGTCTGCGCCTCCATTGAGCGCGCTCTTCTGAGGTGCCTTTGCGGTGGAAGTAGTCGTGGTGGCGCTGGTCGCCGCGGAAGAAGAGGCGTCTTTGTCCCGCGTAATTGCACTGTGTTTGTCGGTGCCGCTCGGGGTGGCGGCCGGCGGCGAGAATGTAGAGAAGGTCGAGAATCCCGAAGACGCGGGGGGCGCGGGGTTCGCGGCAGGAGTCGAGAAGGCTGAGAAAGTGGACGTTGAACCTGCGGCCTTGTGCTTTGAGCCCTTCTTCTTGCCGCTCGCGCCAACACTCGAGCCTGAGGGTTGGGCCGGGCCAGATGTGTTGACAAACGAAATGCCGTGGTACTTGTGCTTGGTGACCTGCAGGCCGCGGCGGGTCGACACGAGGGCGCCGTCCTTTTGGACAGTCGCATTGAAGTGGTCCATCTTGAAGGAGAAGGGGGGTCTCGTTATGGTATAAAAGGCGATGATGCTGTGATGCTCTGACGCTGCAATGACGTGATGGAACGAGGTTGGGGTACGTGCTGGTGCGGCGCAGACTTGCCGTTGTTTGCGTTGCAACCCTATAGAGAGTGATGAAATCACAGACGAGATTCAATGCCGGTGGGTGTTGAAGACGTCCAGTCAAAAAGACAATGTCCTGGAGTGTTGATGAATTCGATGCAAATCTGACTCGAACGCCGAGATCGAGAAACCGGATATGCTCGAGATCGCTTGTCCCCAGAGAGGGTATCTTCCAACCAACACAAAGAGACCGCAGAAGAGGTCATGCACCCTTCTGTCAGACTTCTCTGCGCTCGTTGAAACAATGGCTCTTGTTAGGAGGTGTCGTCGTCGTCGTCGACGTCGCCAATCCTAACCACCAGACGTGCGGGGGGCGGATATCGGGGCTCAGAAGTGGTGTGCTGTTGCCGGAGGTGCCTGCCAAGGTACAATCCTAAATAGGTGCCTGCATTTTGTCTGGCCGAAGATGCATTGTGTCTGGTTGAAGATTGAGTACTCTCGTCGTTGTTTGCGGTTTATGTCAATTGTGTCAGTCGAGGATCAAGACAACGCCACCGCACATCGCTCCTTCCCCGCAGCCTCTGACAAACCGCTACTCAAAATCTCGGACTCTGCGCACCGCGTTTTCGAACTAGTCCCAATCAGGAAACACTCCCACATCGGGGATAGCCGACATCCGAGTACCTGCAATGAGTTGGCTTCATCCGACGATGCGGCTTACATGGGGAGTCTTGAACGGCCTTTGTTGGAGGAGAGAGTGATCGTTTACCCTTGGCCGGTTAAGGGGTGTAAAATAGAGGAATGAAACCGAGTCGGCCTCTTGTTTTCTTGACGGTGACAAAGATACAGGCAGCGTGTCGTTTTCGCCACGAAGACGACATCTCTTGACACTTTTGGCGTTGCACGCCTCCAAGTTGCAAATATCTACAAAGCAAACCCAAAAGGCCGTTTTAACCCACAAAGATCTTGTGCACTAATCCCTTTCTCATTTTCCATTGACGGCAACTCGCAGCAAGTACAACAAGGCGCCAACGTTCACCACCCACGATTCCGAGTGAGGTGATGGTGACGACATCGTCATGAGTCGCCTGCACCATGGCCAGGAGGTGGGGGGCGGCATCACCGCAACCAAATGGAGTGGCAGGTTCGCTGCCATCGCGTCTGACATGAAAGCGTTCCGAAAAATAGTACCAAACCTGGACCGGACTGGACGGAGCTCTTTCTGCAGCACAACAAACAACTCAGCTCCTCCGAGGAACCTAGCAGTTCGCCCTCCAAGAGAGCCGGTTACGAAACCCACAAACGGAAATGCCAATCTACAGAGGCCGAATGGGTCCGGGTGCTATGTCCTTGACCAGAAGCAGAAAACACAATGCGCCTCGCGCCGGTTCTCGAGTGGCTTTGGTTGTACCGACGAAGAGGAATTTCCATACTTGTCGCCGGTCACTAAGGCGCTCAAGCCGACACCCACTCCTCCCAGCAAAAGTAATACGCATTGCACCACCACCCACGAAAATTCCAGTTTTGCAAGAGAGACGGACAACGACGCAGAGGAAGAAGATGAGGACGACGAGGATGACGAAAGTGGAGAGGAAGATGATGACGACGAGGATAACGACGATGACGGAGATGAAGAGGAGGACGAGGAGGAAGACAACAACGATGACGACGAGAATGACGATGGCGATGATGGTGAGTGGGACAGGGATCGTGGTCAAGTGGCAGACATCCTTCCACAGCTGCGAGATCACAATCCAAAGTCCGTTAAAGTCCCACGGTCCTTTGAGAGTGGGCGATCCCACACGCAATATATTACGAGGCCAATGGATCCCGAACCAGAAGCCGCGAAACTTGCTCCTCCATTGACGCATGTTAATCCGAGTGCTGATGCGAGAGACAATACCCAGTCGCCGAAAGCAGCTACGAAACGGACCAACCTCAGGGAGGATATCTTCCTGTATGAGTCTATTAAGGCCAGGTACGTCAGTTCTGTCTCCAAGCCAAGTACAGAGTTCGTCTCCCGGCTCCCTGAGCCGTGGCAGATTCGCGAAGCCACGAGAACATCCCGCGAGAATCGAGAGAAGCGATCACACAAACGAAAGGCATGGGAGCAGCTCGTTCCAGTTGAAGCATTGCCCAAAAGACAGACTCGTGAGGACATGCGCCGGGAAAGCACTGTGTTTGAATTTGATAACACCAGGAATGAAAGCCATGACAGCGGTGGGAGAGTGCAGTATGCAGAACGTGACCGCAGCTTCGATCCAAAGCGCAGACACTGCCCGTTCCCTCTGCCATCATCGCCACAACGACCTCCCTCTTCGCCTCCTATTAGCGAATCTCGTGTCGTCATGCAATTCACCGTTTTTCGCACCCGGGGACTTCCACGGTCCTTTGAAGGCTACCTAGCTGGAAAAGTCGTCCGCAGCGGGTCGTACGCCGACAAGAACACGGCGAACCAGCAGGCCGAGGCGCTTCTGCGACTTAAAGGCCCGCCCGTTGCCCGCATGGAGTTCGAATACGGCGAGGAAGGCTCGTCCCGGAATGGAATGTTCTTCGGCCGAGCGGAATACAAAAACGGCACGTGTCTCTACGTATACGTGGACTGCGAGTACCAACAGTTTGGCAAGATCGACCCGTCGGAGTTTGACGGGAAACGCATCAACCCACAATACAAGCAATTGTGCCTAGCGCCGCGATACGACGTGTTTGTGATTCTGCGAAAGGCCATGAGAAGCCAAGATGGCATTGTTGTGTACGAGTACGAAGAAGAGACAAGACCAGAGACAGTGGCCGACGTGATCGATGATGACGACAGTGATATTGAGAGCAGCCATGAAAAGGGGCCTGAAATTGAAAGTGAACGTATGTTAGCCGAAGCTGCGAGGTCTTCTGTACGTGCTCTAGACAGTCCTGTGGAAAGCGATGACAGCGACCGTATCAATGAAGTTTCCGCAACGGAAAATCGTGAAGACAGTGCAGCTGCCAAGGGTAGTGATGAGAATGACACGCCGACTACCCTTGATGAAGTTGACAAAGAATCGAGTTTTGCCAGAGTCCGTCATGTGAACGCAGCCGATGACAACTGTGTCGATGGAAGTGAATCGAATCAAAGCCAGAGTGGACTTCAGAACGACACAGCACGCCCATCAGCCCACGGGTCGAGCCTGGGCTCGCATTTTCAGCCTATTTTTGTTGGGTCGTACACCACGCTCGCAGAGGCCAATGCCAAGGCAATCGACGCCTTTTCTGTCAAAACACGGCCACAGCCACCTGCACGCTTGGACGCCCTCATGTACTATCGTGACATCCTGCAGCCACACCTTCGCCAACTTCGGCTCCAGTTTTGTGCGGACCAGGACTCTCGGGAAGCTACAAAGGAGGCCGAAATATCGTGGGAGCCCAGTCCACAGTTCCGGTACGACTACGAGGCCATCAACGTGGTCGTTGCCAAGAGCGAGATGCAAGGCCCCCTCGACCTTACGGGCGCATTTTCGTGAGAGGCGCCGTCAAGTGATGTGCCACTCTTGGGAATGTGTGTTAGAAGTTTTACAGAAATGAAAAGGAATTTTGTCATCACACGAGTTCGGCATCACATGTAGAGTAAGCCCCATTTCGTTTGATTTATTTTGTTAAGGATTTTCTCTTCGGTTTCAGTTTCGCGTTGAATTTAAATCTTTATGATTTTGCTCCTTGTTCTGTTATTTTGTCTTAAATAGTAATCAATAGCAGATTGAACGTGCAGAATATAACTTGCCATAATAAACCCGTAAGGCGTAAACAAAATCGCCGGTTACACTGTGTGCAACGTGTGACGGCCTTCAACGACGGACTTATAGATCACCGCACGAATTGAACGCGTTTGATACTACTTTTTGATTGTCATATTGGCCGAACAGAAGCAACGAGGCATAGTCAGCGCGGAAAATACAAGTTGAAAGAGTATGAAGGGTATGCCATGACAAGTTGAAAAGACAGGCAGCTGACACAATGACGGAAACGGAGAAAGGAAGATGTGACTTGTTTGCAATAGGCAGGAAAAATGTCGTAAGAGACGTTCTTACGTATATAAGCCGGTTTCGCCGTTTCTGGTGACTTCGTCTTGTGTGGGCATTCTATTTATTCTTGCAATATCGATTGTTAGTTCCGTGTCTTAAACCGTTTTGTGCCTTGGTACTACATCTAACAAGCCATTACACAGCTGGTCCAATTCTTGCCAACATTACCAGTTTGCAGGGTTAAAGGATAGAGTAAAGAGGAAATAAGCCACAGCACTGCTGTGAGGGAGGAATCTGCAGTGGATCGGGTTTGCTTTTGCTCATAAAATGCTCAGTGAATAACTGGGACCTGTTTGTAGGCACGATGGTCAGGGCAGCTGTTGGAAGACCAGACGAAGACGATCACAGCTAGGACAAGACCGGCACTTGATGCAAACAATTAGTCGTCCAAATTGGCCACCTGAGCATCATTCGGACTAAAAGTGGTTGCTTTTTCAATGGGTTTTAATTGTTTGGTAAATGTTATGTACATGTTCCACGGACAGAGGAGTGTGGTCCAATGGTCGTCGTGGAGCCCCAGAAACGTGGTGAAAATGAGAAACAAGCGCATCCTCAAACAAGGAGCGCTGGGATAAAGCAGTGGAAATCGAATTCGTTCTTGTCGTTTATAGGGGGTACGATGTCTGAGGAAGCGACTCGAGGTGTTTCCGGTGGTGCTCGTTGGCCTAAAAAAGAGCGAGACGTTAGCAAACAATGCTGACAATGTGAACACCAGGAAAATCCAATGAAATGACGGGATAGACGCACAAAAGGAAGACCGCAGTAGCCGCAGACGCTGATTTGCGGCTTGTCCGTGTTGATGAAAACCCGCGGGTGACCGGCCGCACCACCGCCACCGTCGCACGCCACAATACGGTCGTGCGTCCAACGCACCGGTTCCTGGTGAACCAACTCCATGGCTGAGTATGGCTGCGGCTGCAACGAAAAGTCCGTCTGCTCGAAACGCGGGCCCGTCATCGCCTTCTCACGAGGCTGCTGGTTCCGCGTCCACACCCCGCTCCGGTTAGGCGCCTGCTGGAGCTCCGTCGTTGTGGGGGCGCCGGCCTCGGTGGTCGACTGAGGGGTCAGGTCGGTCTGCACGGGGGCCGCGGTTGAATCCTGGCCCATGCGAGTCGTCATGGCAAAGGACCGGTGGCCTACACGACCGCCGCGGGCCAGGCGCTGGGGAAGCAGCCTACTGCCAGCCCGTAATGACATCATCGTGGTGGGTTGTGTTGTGGGAGTGCGTCTTATTATTTGCAGGACGTAACGCGGCAATGCAATTGGCGTTCAATAACGGTCGGTGGGTGGGACGGCGGCGTCGTCGTCGTCGTCGTCGGTTTCGTGATGAGGTTCTTTCCGAATTGGCCGCTTGAGGATAAAAGCGGACCTTCTGCAATGCCTCGTTAGAGCAAAAGGCCAATTCCCTGGCATGCGGTTGGTTGGCTTTGTCCCAATTTCTCGGATTAATTCATTTTCCGGAGCCTCTCTTGGTCGCAGTTTCCCATCTTACTACCGCATGTAACTTCTTGTCGCGCGGACCCACTTAAATTATGTCAAGTGTCTTATCGATAGTGATCCCAAACGAATCCATGATAGCTGTGGAATTTTTTTGTATGTTTTCTTTGGTCGCAAAACATACCATCAACCACGCATTGCACTCTCTTTTTGTCGGATAGTGATCTTCGACCTCCCCTACATATCGACTTCGTTCTGGCATATACACCACCTCATAACACCTTGCAGCACGCGATGCCGCCACCACAATCACCTAAGGCAACGCCTCCTCGGGCTGGCACTTCGCGCCTGTTGGCGATGAAGTTCATGAACCGCCTTGGGCCTTCAGACTCTACACCCACGACATCATCTCCCTTAGCATCAGCTTCGTCGACGCCCATATTCAACAAAACCGACACTGCATCCTCAGATGAAGACAATGACGACGACAACCGGCCATCCGCTAAGCGACGCAAGGTTTTATTATCTGTGGACGCGGCGGCATCGTCTCCTGCGACGGCGGTCGCTGCCGCAGCAGGCACGACAGTAGCAGAAATGGAGGCTACCATGCGCGCGTCCATGGACGAGGAGGAGCGGAGGCGCCAGGTGGCCATCAAGCGGCGTGCGGCAGAGCTGGGCGATGAGCATTGGACGTGGAACACGCCGCTGCCACCACACGTTGCAGCCAAGCTGGCAGCCGGCTCCAACTCGGTGAAATCAAAACTGCCCTATACGGTCGTGCGTGTTGGATACGCCGAGATTGATGACAGGGCAGACTCTGAAGCTACTGGCAGCAGCAGTCCCACAACGCCGACCACAGCGCACCCAGTGGCAGGCAGCGCCAAACCCAATATTATGCGGTTTAACATGAAGAAGGTACGTCTATGAGCGGTGTAGTCCGCTATGCTGCTGAACGTACTGCTCGTACTGACACTCTTTTTTAGGTTCCCGGCAAGAGCGACGAATCCGATGACGAGGATGACGAATCGACACAGGGCGGCGACAAGAAGTCACGGAAACGTTCACGATCCGACGTTGATTCCAGTTACAAGAAGAAAGAGACCACGAAACTGAAACATCTGACCTCGCTGTCGTCCCAAGGCGGCCAAAGCTCGGCGATGAAGTGCCACAAGTGTGGGCGGCCTGGCCACAAGGCAGCTAGCTGTCCTGCAGCACAAAGCAAAAGTGCCCGCAAGAAGCGATAATTGCCTTTGGAAGATTCAGAAACGGGATGCACCTTTTACGAAAACGTGTATATCACGTAGTCATTGGTCGGCATGGCCCAACCATTGTATGCATCGTGTTGGCCCCAAATTGAGGCCCGCAGTCCAGCCGACGTTGGAGATGATACCCCTTTTTTTTATTCATTATACACCGAGTACAAACGGAGTCGACGTCCCAAGTTTCTGCTCGTATTACCGAAAGGCGCCGTGTAGTTTCTATACGTCCGGGACGGCACTGGTGGATGCCCCATTACTTGCGATATGCATGCAATTGCAACCAAGTACGACATGGTTCTCAGATGCCCATCTGGCTGCACCGTTTTGTGGCTGTGCCTTTGCAAAGACAAGGACTACGTTCGTTGACCAACATGAGGTCACCGTGGGACCAAGCTGCACGTTGGTACCCATCGAATCTATGAGCACAAGGGTCAACTTCATTAAGTTCAGGTACCCGTAGACCAGTGTGCGACCGAAAGACCTGTGCTAGCATTCCCAGTGTAATTTTCGAATATGTAGCTGGTATTGCATTAGACCAAAGTCCATACAAAATGAAATAAACCTAAGGATACGGTGTCGTGCAGTATGACACTTTTACTACAATTATTTGTATTCGTATACATAGTGCCTCGAAAGTAATTATAAAAGGATAGATTAAAAATGCAAAATAACTTTATGTGAACCGCCAAAAGCACATGCAAGAAAACACTATGGAAGGCACAATATAATATTTAAAAGAGAAATTGAACCCAATGAAAAGATACAAACGCCTGAAAAATGCTACAATGAGGGCCAAAACCCACACACACTCGCTTGTCCTTTATGGTAACTTGCGGCCTATTTCTTAGATTTCCCCTTGAATGTCCGCAGCGGATTCCGTCCTTTGCTGCCGCCAACCTTGAAGGTCTTGTTGCCCTTGCTGTTTTTGTAGTACTTGGACTTGCGACGGTCCTTGCCGTCTGTCCTCCGCAGTGGCACAAAGCCAACCTGCGCAGGCGTCAGCGCGTTCTTGCCATCACGCGGCAACAGGTACTCAGGCACATGTTTGAGGTGTGACTGCGTGCGCATCGTGCGAAGCTCTGAGTCGTGACGTGCCAGATGGTGCAGCTCGTCCGGGTTCTCTTCGAAATGGCGCTTCAGTTTCTCGCTCTTCAGCAGCTCCTGCCGGATTTCACGCATCCGCGCTTCACGCACCGCCACCTTGGTGACCGACCGCAGCGCGTCGTTCATACGGTAGCGGAAGGCCTCGACCTGCTTCATGTCAAAGTCGTACGGCTTGACCTCCTTGCCAACCTTTGCCTGCTGTCTCATGATGCGCGCGAGCACTTTCTCGTCCTTCTCGGCTGTCTCGACGGTCGTCGGCATGTGCTTCCGGTACTGTTCGGAGGGGACCACAAACGACAATGCCATACCGGTCTGGCCTGCGCGGGCCGTGCGGCCTATGCGGTGCGTGTACGACTTGGACGATGTTGGCAAGTCAAAGTTGATGACAGCGCGCACATTCTTGAAATCAATGCCACGCGACACACCAAACTCCTTGTCGCGTTTGATGGTCTTGCGCTTCTTCTTCTTTGGCGCGGCCTCGTTGGCATCACCAGTAGCAGCATTGGCATCGTCGGCCGGCTGGTCTTCATCACCGAGGAGCTCGTGCTCATCGGACGCGATGATAATGTCGTAGACGTTGCGGTTGAACTCCTCGATACAGTGAATCCGGGAGTTGACGGGGAGCTCCGAGTTCAAAATGCAGCTACGGATTCCAAACTGCTCAAAGAACAGCTTCAAGCGGTAGCAACGGTCGACATCAGCGACAAACACAAGGCACTTTCCAGTGACCAGCTTCAGCTTGAAGATGATGTAGGCTAACAAGAACTTCTCGTCCTCGGCGCACTTGACAATGTATTGAGAGACACCCTCGCCCTCAGCCTCCTTCTCCTCCAGGTTGAGAACGACTGGGTCCCTGCACAACATGCCCTTTAAGGTGTCGACCTCGGTCGAGAGTGTCGCGCTCATTAGGATCGTCTGGACGCCCTTGGGCAAGGATCCGGAGATCTGCTCCAGGTCATCGTTGTAACCATAAGAAAGCACAAGGTCAGCCTCGTCGAGAACGAGATGCGTCAGTTTTGAGAGAGAGAGGAAGTCGTTGCTGGCGGCGTGCCATGCTCGGGCCGGTGTTGAGACGACAATGTCGGGGGTGTTGGAGAGGAGAGAGCGCAGGACAGCGTCAGACACCTTGTCGGTTAGCTTGACGGCAGAGACATCCTTGGCACAGAAAGACGAGAACTGGGCGATGCCCTTGGCGACTTGGTCGGCAAGTTCGCGAGTCGGGACGAGGATGAGGACTGAAGTGAACGCAGACTGGTCGGTCTAAGGTGGAGCAACAGTGTTAGCACATGGATAAAGAATACCAAGATTTGCGTACGCCAACAGAGTCAAAACCGTCAAAACCGTCAAAACATACCTGCTTCCGCTTCAGAATCGCCTGCAGGGCGGGAAGCAGGTATGCGGCCGTCTTGCCCGACCCCGTCTTCGCCTTTGCCAGGACATCCTGACCATTGAGCGCCATTGGGATCGCCCTTTGCTGGACGAGCGTCGGCTTCTCAAATTTCTGTTGTGCGACGGCTTGGATGAGTCGCGGGTCGAGACCAAGCTGGGTGAATGACAAGATCGGCTCCGTCGCGGCGGCGGGAGCGGGAGCGGGAGTGATGGGTTTCTCAGCGGATGGCGTCTCTGGCGCAACGCCTTCTTCGACGACTGCTGGAGTGTCGTTCTGTTCGAGCTTCCGCTTCATCTTAATGCGATGTTGTTTCTAAGATATGTGAGGGGGCAGTTGTACGTTTGCTAAAATCGGCAACCTCGAGTTGGAGGTGGCTATAGATGGTGCCTTGGACATCCGATTCTGCGGCCGTTTTGCCTCAAAGATTTTGCTTCATATTGCCAGCCTCCTGTCCCTCAAAGAAAAAAAAAACGTTATCGTCTCTTATCGGCTTTACCGCTTTCGAGGACGGGATGAAAGCGATTGTCACGTGCACACCGGATCGACGAAAATCGCGTTGGCACAGGTGGGTCTTTCCTTTCCTGTTATCACGCTAGCCCTGTTTCAGGGTACAAACAAACATGCGCCGCAATATGTCGCATCTTACATGGCATACAACATATTTACACCAGTCATTTGGGCAATGTGGGATTTGGTATGTCTTCTCTTTTGACAGGTTTGTGCTCTGAGCTTCGGTGCTACACAACCAGCAGCGGTCTGGCACCTGCCAAACAAAACAAGTTATCTCGCGCAGAGCTAGCCTCGCCCCTGCAGCCTCCTGCATATTCAGTTACAGAACACCGCGGCAACCACTATTTGGACAGGGTTGGAAGTTGTGACTAGCAGGAATTTTCTCAGGAAAATGACAACAAACTGCGTTGATAATCCATGCTCACCGCCGTTCGCATATCCAGTTGTACAATATGTAGCCGAACGAACGTAGCAATATCAAGACGAGCCAACGTGCATATGGAAATACGCTTGTTTGCAGCCAATCGTATGATCAGAGACGGTGGAAGCCGATAGAGGAGTGTTGAAGTTTCGAAGTAAGACTTGCAATTGGTTTTTGTTGAACTCGAACCAGGGCACCAGTACGTTCGAAGAACAATGCCAAGAGCCATTTTGCCGCAACAGAAAAGGTACGCTCATCGCCCATATCGACATTGTCGAAAACCGTTATTCAGAAAGTTTGGCTCAAAAGAACCGTTCGCTTCCGCGCTGCCGAATCCAAATTAATTGCGTCGCATATACGACAGTATATCTCCGTTTATTCCAGACGAGTACGACGTAATTAGTAGCTATGAGCGCTTGCCTGTAGCATGGTGCCTCGAGTCGATGAAGCTTGTGCTTCATTGCTCCGACTGGTTGAAGATGTAGCGCAGTGGCACAGCGTCACGGGATTTTGTTGTGGCAAGTGGGTCTGTGCACCACACCTATTCTGTAAAGTGCCTACTTTCGCGGTTGCCCCGGACAACTACTGTACACATTGTAGGGGAGGGGCTGCGTTTGGCGAGGCAAGAGCGGACCAGTGCGCTTGCCATGTTTACATTTCTTAAGAGACTCGCTCTTCCCCTCTACACCACCACTTTTACGTTTTGGTCAAAGACGGCTGTCGCCAAACATCTCACATTCTTTTCCTTCACCGCGGGAAGAGGTCGATATTTCTTCATGCTATAGCTCATCTATCCTTTGGAATTCTGATCCCCTTCCATTCTCATTCTTGCCCAGCGCCACTTTGCATTCATCCAATTCATCTTACAGTATTATTGCACGCACATCGCCAATTTACCCTTTCTAGTCGCGGGCGCGCAGAGCACATCGAGTAGAGAGACGTCAACAAACCCGACAAAGGCAACGAAGAAATTCTCAGCGCGGAAAGCAGCAAGAACCGTTGCCGGTTGCCTCGAGCAGACCGGTGGTTTGTTTTCTCCGGGGCTTAATTCTCTTCGACCCTTCTTTCTGTTCGATCGTCTCGCTTCCGTTCGCTTCCTGTCTCAGTCTTTTTTTTTCTCAGTCTCTTTTACGAAAAACAACGCAGCCGGACCGGGCGTCTGCACTAGACGCCCATTCCAGCATTCCAGAGCTGTCATCTATTTCGCGACGACAAAGATTCCTGGCCACCACGTCAACGGAGTGCCCGTCTCCTTTATTTGCCTGGCCACGTCAGGGCATCAATGTTCTTGACGCACTCTGCGTCACTTGTTTCTTACCATGGCGTCCTCCGAGCCTGTAAGTCTCACTTTTTTTTTGCCTACGGGATGTGCTTGCACTTGCGCGAAAGTACCACGTATCATAGGACTAATCCTTGTTTAGGTGCATCCTCTGCGCATTTCGAAGAACAACACACCAATGTCCTCGCCCGCCAAAAAGGCCAGCGCCATCCCTCGTCCCCTTTCTGAAATCTCCCCTTCGGAGAAGCGCCGCAATTCTCCAAGTTGGAACCAAACCAACAAGGTAAGAGTCTACATCTGCTTGCTGCCTTTGGTTGCTTTCACATTTGGCGTGCAATATAGTTTGGATCAGAAACTAAATATTCTCTCAACATTAGAAGCTGGGCTTGAATGCAGACTCGTCGCCGTTTCAGTCCTCGCCTCTTGACGGCACCACGTCACCTCGCTTGTTTTGGCAGAACCGCAACGGCTTCAACACCGAGAACCTCTACGGGGGTGGCATTGGCAGCACCCCATCGCCCACACGCCGTTCTTCCATTGAGCGCCTGCAAAAGGCATCTCGTGTCAAGAACAGCAGTATCCTCGCCCAAGAGCAGAAGAACGAGTACGACCCAACAAAGGTCCCCAGAGTAGAGCGGCCCTTGTCCAAGGTCCAATCGAACTCCTTTGGCGCATTGGGTATTACGGGTGTGCTTGATGGCAGCGACGTGAAGGGCCACCAGCGGAGAGAGAGCAAAACAAACATCCCTCTTTACGACCCTGCGAAAACGTCCCCGTCTGTTGCTAGCCTTAACTCGCCACCACACGTTCCGGGGCAGCTCTCATCGAGCGTCCAATCAGACAAATCAGACACGCCGGCCGCACTTGCCGCCGACAGCAACCCTTCTATGGCCATCAAAGAGTCGTCTTCTCCCATGAAGTCCTCTCTTTCAAGCCGGTTCAAGAGCAGCTATAATGAGCAAGGTGACATTTCGCTGGATGCATCTATGGGTGACGATGAACTTCCTCTTGGCCGTTCTCTTCATCGCCACGGAAAGAGTGTAACATTCGACGCGGCACCACCGCAAGTCAACGAGTACGAGATGGCCACGCCTGACCTTTCATCTGTCGGCAGTCACTCTCGGGAAGGCAGCTACGAGTCACAGGAGGAGGATGACGACTATGACGACTATCGGTATTCCGCAAATGACCATGGCAACCCAGACGACAGCTTTGATGCGTCTCTGGAGGACACAGACAAGACCCCCGTCGTCGGCCCTGATGACTGGCGCCAAGACAGCCCTGACAGCCGCCGTGACCACAACGTTTACGAAGGTAGTCCTATGCCTGACGCTGTTCCATCTTCTGCTATGGGACACCAGGATGCACAATCTTCTCTGGGCTCCAGCGGTGACCACCGCCCTCTTCCTCCTCTGCCTGGTATGGGCCATGCCCGTACAAATTCCGCCAACTCGCCGAGTTTGTCTGCCACCGCCGACCGAATGCTGGGTGGCAGTCCCCGTGGGCTGCCGTCGCCGCCGCCTGCATTGGCTACGAAGTCTGAGATCCAAAACATTGGCAACAGCAAGATGACACTCGAGGAGCGTCTCAAGCTTATGATGCTCTCTGATGATGGAAAGTCGGCCGCCGAGCTTCAGCGAGAGCGGCGCATGCGCCGGGCAGGCCCCAAGGATCGCGCTAACAGCCAGACGCCTGAGCCTGACTCGTCGCAGCGTGATGGTACTTCTGAGCACGGTGAGGAGGAAGACACAATTGGAGACCTGTCTGGTCTTGAAGAGTACCGCTTGCCACCTCGCATCTCCAGGGAATCAATCCTTCGTCGCGTTAATGGCGCCATAGGCCAGGAGCGCGAGTCTGACTATAATTTCTCTTCACCTGCTCCCAGCTCCAGCCCTGAGCGCCGACTTCCTCTGGACCCGGACGTTCCCATTCCTAGCACGGAGCACGACTATGATGATAACTTTTCCGTCGATGGCGCGGCCCGTGAAAAGCATAACGAGGCCTATGATATCCCCGACATGTATGATGACGATGACGAACATGATGATGCAGAGGATTACGAGAGCAACTACAGTGATGAGCATGCCGAAGATGTTGCGCAACCTGCAGCTGTCGATAATGCCTCGACACCTCGCGCGGCAACACCAGTCCAGGAGATTACGTCTCACACGGTCACAGTTGATGACATCCATAGGTCCGATCTTCCGGCTATCGCACAGGAAGGCCGTATCTCTCTAGGCGAGACCCGCCAGCCATTGATGCCTAAGTCAGACGACGGTAACGCCAATTCTGGCCACATGCATCTCCACAACTCCGAGGTCGAGTCAATTCGACCGCAGACTCCGGAGCGCAAGACACATCCTAAGCATTTGTCGAAACCTGAATATGATGGCTCCGGTTGGGGGGATGACGAAGAGTTTGACGAACCAGGTACTCCTGATTCTGTCATTCACCACCCAGTCCAGGACGATGACGACGATATTTTTGACGACCAGCAAGAACAGGACGAAGAGGTTGAGATACGCGAGTCGCCGGCCGTTCCCGAACAGATGGCAACAATCAAGGCATCTGGCTCGAAGCTCAAGACGCGGCCATCTGCAACTCCCTCCGACCTCGTGGCAATGCGCGAAGCACGCCGCCAAGTCAGTCGCGAAGTACCTGATGTTCCTCCTATTCCAGACCGGCATCGCAACCGCCTGTCCCGCGACATGGGCACAGGGGATGTTGAAGAAACTGGAGACGATTTCCTTGAACGCCATCCTAGCTTCAAGAAGCGTAGCCTGACCCTTGACCTGGACCTTGGTCTCAGCCTGGACAAAGATTTTGAGCGCGTGATCGAAGCTCAGAAGGTCATTGCTACCCGCCCCCCTTTTCTTTTATCCGACCTGTCAGGGACTACAGCCTTTTGCACTTCCGTGAGGCAAGCGCCTCATGAGGAAGTTGAAAGTAACTGTCGTTCTCAGGATGCCGGTATCGAAAGCAATATTGCAATTTCTTTTACTGACGTCATTTTCCGTAAACAGCGCGGCTACCTTATGCGGCAGAACACTAAGCTCGTCGCCGCCAGCGACAAAGAACATGTAGACGAGTTCCGGGGTGCCCGATCTGCCGGCAACTCGCCCATGAAAAAGGAGCGCCCCCAGTCCTGGACAGTAGAGCCGTGGAACGGCGAGCGGAGAAAGAGCGTCCGCAAACGTGGCGTGCCATCGTCAGGCCCTGTTCCGCCGATGCCTGGCCAAGAGAGCAATGCTACGGCACTGAATCCTCTGGCAGAAGAAGAGTTTGTCACCGAGACTACCATCGACGAAGGGGCTGAGAGAGGCCGTCTTTTCGTGAAGGTCATGGGTGTTAAAGATCTTGACCTGCCCATCTCTAGAAGTATGTTTCTGATACTTGCTTGTTTGATCCATGACGAGCGGCCGGTACTAACAACAACCAGCGGAGAGAACTTGGTTCAGGCTGACACTGGACAATGGTGTCCACTGCGTGACTACTGCCTGGTTGGAGCTGGCCAGGAATGCCCCTATTGGACAGGAGTTCGAGCTTCTTGTCCCAAATGACCTCGAATTCCAGTTGACTCTCAACGTCAAGCTAGAGAAGCCTGTACAGCGTAAGGTCGTTCAGCCATCGCCTGCTAAGGTTGTTCGTCCCAAGGCATCTACATTCAGCCGTGTTTTTGCCTCTCCCAAAAAGCGCAAGGAGATGGAGCAGCGCATGAAGGAGGAGGACGAACGCCTTGCTCGTGAGCATCTTGAGGCGCAAGCGAAGATCAGAAATGCACCGCCCACTGCATACGACCTGCTATCTCCCATTGTCGCCGAGGATGGCAGCTTTGCTCGTTCGTATGTCTGCCTCAAGGAGCACGAGTCGCGCTGCTACGGACGTCCTGGAATTGTGGAAGTTGCATGCTTCAACGAATGGGCCACCGAAGAAGCTGGTTTCGCTTCCAGCGTCAAGAGCAAGCGCGGTAACATGGCGGTTGTGCGCCGTGCACCTTACAAGATTGGCAAACTGGAGCTCCAGCTTCTCTTCGTGCCGCGGCCCAAGGGCGTCTCGAACGACGATATGCCTAAGAGTATGAACTCGTGCATCCGCGAGATGAAGGCTGCAGAGGAGCGTCAGTCTCAGAACTGGGAGGGCCACCTTAGTCAGCAGGGCGGTGATTGCCCGGTAAGTTAATTCTCTGCGGCATGATTACCCCTTTATGCAATGGTCTTAATAACAACATCCTAACCATCTGGTAATAGTACTGGCGTCGGCGTTATTTCAAGCTTGTTGGGACGAAACTGACTGCGTACCATGAGGCAACGCGGCAACCCCGGGCAACGATTAACCTCGCCAACGCAAAGAGGCTCATTGATGACCGGCGGGCATTGACCGAGAAGGAGACGACCGGCAAGAACGGTAGACGCCGCCGGTCTGCATTTGCAGAAGAAGAAGAAGGCTACATGTTTGTGGAGGAGGGCTTCCGCATTCGCTTCAACAACGGCGAAGTGATTGACTTTTATGCAGACACGGCCGCGGACAAGGAGGGGTGGATGAAGGTGTTGTCCGAGGTGACGGCACGGGACAGCGTGGGTGGCGAAGACGACCTTACGGCATCGCGGGCCAAGACCAAGTGGTGCGAGCTGGTTCTTAAGCGGGAAGAGGCGCTTCGGCGTCGGGCTGAGGGCCGGGCCGAGGGCCGCCGGGTCCATTCTCGGACGAAGAGCATGCACGTCTAAGTCTAAGCGTGAGTCAGTGTCGGCTTGGGCGAGCTGTCCCTTCAGTGTGTGAGACAGGTGTAATGAGCTTGCAGTTCCTTTGGCGCGCAAGAAGACATCTATGAACGGTTGATCGGTTCTACGGTATTGGAGTTTTGTCTTTTGTCGTTTGTCTTGTCTTTGTTCTATTTCCTAGTTTTCATTCTTGTCTTTCTTTAATCGTCGTGTCATACTGGCTTTCTTAGAAGCTTATGAAGGGCGACGGTTGCATGGGCGGAGCCCAGAGACAGCACCGCGGTCGAGCACCTTGTGCTCTCTGAAGACAAAGCCTGGAGCTTGGGACCCGGGTTTTTGGGCGACCTCATGCAACCACTGTCATTTGGATTGTATTATTTGTTTTAGTCACTCCCAGGACAGGGCAATGGACCACATTTTTGTAAACTGTATTGATCAGTCTTGAGTTATAGTAAACTTTTGAGTGCCTGCCAAACGATGCATGTAAACGATGTGATGGGTATATTGTCTTTTCTATGATGCTTTTTTGTGTTATCTACTGTTTTATATTTTCTGCCTGTCATATATTGCTTGCGCTCATGGTGCAGCCTGTGTCGCCCCTGTCGGATTTGAAGCAAGTTCTCTGTCTTTTTTCAAGTTCCATGCAATGCAGTCGTCGAGCTTCGCGCCCGAGCCACCAAAGCAGTCCAGTGCGCTGCCAATGGTCAGATCTACGCGTCCGCCGCTCAGATTTTCCACCAGCGCCAGGTCGTCCACATGCCGTGCGCCGCCGGCGTAGGTTACTGGCGTGCCCGCGGCACCGCACCATGAAGCCAGCTGCTCGACCAGCTCGGCATCAATGCCCCGTTGAAGGCCCTCGACGTCGGCGGCATGCACCAGGAACTCACTGCAGTAGGGCGCGAGCTGGGCAATGGTCTCGGCCGACAGGTACATGTCCGTCATGGTCTGCCACTTGTTGATGGCGACAGCCCAGACGGGGGCTGCAGGGGACGATGCAGAGGACGATGCCGACGACTCTGATGGGGCGATTCGCCGACAGCTCAGGTCAATCACGAGGCGCTCCTTGTCGCCGCCGAGCGCTGCCAGCACCGCGTCAAGGCGCGCCTGGCTGAACTTGTACTTGTCTCCGCCATCGACCCCTGTCGCGTCCTCCTTCTCAAAAAGGTACGACGTGACAATCACCTTGTCGGCGCCGGCATCGATCCATGCCTTTGCATTCGTGTCCTTGATGCCGCCGCCCACCTGCAGCCCGCCCGGCCACGCACCAACGGCCGCGCGTGCGGCTGCCTGGTTGTCGGGCCCGCTGCCCAGCATAATGACATGGGCCCCTGTCAGGCGGTTGTCGCGGTAGAGCTGAGCAAAGTGAGCCGGTGGCTGGGTGGCAACAAAGTTGGTCTGGAGGGCGGCCGAGGTCGAGTCGAGGGTGCCGCCGACGATCTGCTTGACCTGTCCCGCATGGAGGTCGATGCACGGGCGGAAGCGCGTCATCTGTGCGGTTGGGTGTTGGGGAGCGGGGGAGAAGAGGTCGCTAGGTATGGAGGGACTATGAAAGCCGTGGCGGCGACTATAGTTATTGTGATAACCTGAGATCCAGTCGGGGCCGTCTGAACTCAAGACGTCCGGGGTTGATGCCGGCTGCAATCTACTTTAGCGGCCTGGACGTTAGGTGGATTAGCGGGAACGCAGCCTTCTGTGTAGCTGGGCCAAGCACAGTTTTGCAGCGCCTTGCCTTACCAGGGGCAGAAATAGAAGGGCTAGGCCAGTGGCCAATCAGGACAACAGTTTCTGCCGTGCCAAAAGCAAAAGGCTGGTTCCTGGGCAGAAAAAAAAGCGTCACCGCCCAAGGAAATCGCTGTTACGTCGCAGTTGAGATATCTCACAGTCTGGCTTCCAGACAACCACAGCACGACACAATGGCGACGGTTCTCGGCAAGCGGAAAAATTCTTCTGGGACAAAAGAGCCCACTGGTGAGGATGCCATTCAGGACATCTTCCGGCGACACTTTGAGGCCCAGTTCAAGCCCTTGCCCGTGGTCGCAAAAAAGGCCGAGAAGAAGGCGGGCAAGAATGCGAACGCAAACTCGACCGAGACAAGCGGCAAGAGGCTGGGGACGGCCGCGACGGTTGTTATAAATGAGAACCAAAGCGACGACGACGAGTCAGAAGCTTCATCGGCGTGGTCAGGATTGTCTGAAGACGAAGATGGGGACGAGGACATGAACGAATCCCGCGACGCAGCGCCGGCGGTCGAGGTCGTCGACTACAGTACCGACCCAACAAAAGAGACCCCTGAGGCGACCATGACCAAGCATGAGCGCAAACTCTATTTGGTGAGCTCGCACCACGGTTCTACTGCATACCGTATTTGCTCTTCATCCGCTAACCACAATCTTCTCTCTCTCCAACAGTCCAAACGACCGCCAACGTCGTTTGACGAGGACGCCACGCGCGCCGCCAACAGCAAGAAGAACAAGAAGAAAGAGGGGGCCGACAAACAGCAGTACAAGGACGCGCCCGACCTGCTTGCCAACGATCTCGAACTGCAGCGCCTCATCTCCGAATCCCACCTCCTCGCCGGTGCCTTTGCCCTGCCCTCGTCCTTTTCCACCTCGTCCGGCGCCGCCTCTACTTTTGGAGCCGCCGGTGCCGCCGGCACAGCCAACCTGGCCAACCACAAGAGCAGCCAGCCCTTTGCTGCGGGCAAGCTGCGCCAGCGCGCCACCGACCTGCGCATCCAGGCTGTCGCCAACAAGGCCAAGGGCGACGCGGTGGCCGGCGGATCCGTCACTGTGAACCAGGCGAGTGAGAGCATCTTCACGCAGGCCAAGATGCCCATGGCTATGCGCAAGGGCATTGCAGCAGCCGCGGCGTCGCGCGAGAGCAAGCGACGCCAGGAGGCGCGGGAAAGTGGCATTGTGCTGGAGCGGCCGGCGCTGAAGCCGAGCAAGTCCGCGGCGAAACGGATGCGTGCCGTGGATGCGCCGGCCGTGGGCCGCTTACGGGGCTCCGAGCTGAAGCTGCGCGACCGGGATGTCCGGGCGATTGAAGGTCCCAAGAAGACCATGCACGGCAAGAAGAGGAAGAAGCGGAGGTGAAACATTCCGCACCAAAAGCATTTCACGTACATACAAGTTCACATATTCAAAACAATGATACCAGACATGACCTAAAGAGTCTCGAAACCCATTTCATATGTTGAGCAAGAGCAACGTTGCACTTTCATAGCGCAGTACGATTGTAATTTCAATTTTTGTATTCAGAACCGTAGCTTTTTGTCGTCGTTCACCTATCCAGAAATGAAATGAAAAAGTAGCTGAAAATATATATACAAATGCAAAGCCTGCCCTCCTCCGCCTTCGCTTCCACGTCACATCGGTCATGTGTGTTCATACCCTTATGCACAAGACGCCCGCCATTCACATCGGAGCAGGCAAGCAACGTCAGCTTGTCGCCGCATTGCCTTCGCACTCGCAATGGCCCCTCTTGTCCCCAAGTCTATAGTTTTGGAGGAAACAATTAAAAGAAAAACCACGCGTCCACAAGACAATGAGGTCGCAAAAGAAAATGGCAAAACGAGTCGGCAAATGCGAAAGATCGAAAATGAAAATAAAAAAGAGCCTGCCAGGAGTGGATCCAAGACCTGGCAGGCACAAACGTGTGAGGCTAAACCAAAATGCTCACGGAGTTCCAATCCCGTGACGAAGGACTGAAGTTCCCGAGGAACGACATAAAAGATAAAAAACAATGGGCAAAGTTATAAACAGCATAAGCAGAACTAGGTCGACAGAAACGGAAAAATGCAAAACAGTTGTAGTGTACAGTGGCAGTCGTTATGTTATGCCTGATGTTGCTTCGTCAAAGCAGGTTGCTCACATCATCGAACCGGTGTTGATGGCTTGTGGTTGGCTGATGGTCATGGGCATGCTAAGAGTCTGCAGGCTGTTGAAAGCGTTCACAGCATGAGCAGATGACGTGGGTGTCATGCCGCTGTTGACGACAGAGTTGAGAGAGGTGGTGACGTAGCCGCCCTCAGAGTTCGGCGAGGCCTCCTCGACGGAGCCGAGCTGGTCTTCGCCAGAATACTCCTCCTCCTCCTCGCCGGACAGAGGGAAGTTTCCATCACCACCATCACTGCGATCATGTGTCCGCTTGTGCCTAACAAAATTAGGTTAGTTTTCTTGCAATTTTATCAGGCATGTCGAAGACGCTTCTCTTGATTGTGTTGTGTGTAGCTGTTCCGTTTGTGTGGTGTGAGGTTTGACAAGACAAGTCCGCAAAGAGTCACTCGTAATCCCCAGCGAATTGCTGTTGCGTTGCATGTGTTCTGTGTTCCATGTCCGTGGTTTTGACGGTTTGCGAATGATGCGCCTCCTTGGTCTGGAGTATGGATTATGCTTTTGGATTGACAGTCGGTTGCATGGTAATGGAGTTCTGGGTCTTGTCGTTCTTGCTTTTCGAAAACATTGCGTACACACAAACAACAATGCAAGGAATTTGGTCGACAAACATGGAAAGAGTCAAACATAAAAGAAAGGGGAGGCCATACTGTGCTAGGTTGTCTGATCTGGAGAATGCCTTGCTACAGAAAGGGCAAATGTAGGGTCTTTCTTGGGTATGGGTTCTCACGTGTCTGGAAAGTTATGGTCAGATAAACGATCGGTGTGGGGTTTCGCACTCGTGTTGTTCTCAGTTTCTTTTTCTGTTTCGCGTCCTCCTGCGCCACTCGGTCACACAAAAGAAAAAACAAATATTCTTACCGCTTCAGGTGCTCGAGCCGCTTGAAGAGGCGACCACACGTAGGGATAGGGCAGGAGTGAGACTTCTGCGGGTAGGGACCAAGCTCCATGACCGTAGCCGAGCGAGCACGACGGATCACGTTGGCACCGCCGTTAGCCATGGGCCGACGCTGCTCCTCCGGAATAGAAACATTTCCGGCTGCAACCGGTAGCTCCTCACTAGGCATGTTGGGGAAGTCCTGCTGCTGCTGCAGAGCCATGGGGTTCAGGCCGGGGCTGCCCTCAACCGTTGACAAGGGGGTACCATGGCGGGAGAGGTCGAGCAGCTCCTTGTGCTGCTGGCTGGTCAGAGAAATACCAGAGTTGCTGTATGTGAGGCCAGGCGGCGAGTTGTCCAGCGACTCGTCGCCCTCAGCGACCGGGCCGACCGAGACCGAAACCGAGCGGCGCAGGTCCGACGGGCGGTGCACAGCAGCAGCCGTAGCAGCAGTAGCAGCAACAATGGCGGACATGCCAGGAGGGATGGAAGAGCGGCGTCTCCGCTGCTTGTATGTGGGAGAGCCCTCGATGACAGGCGAGTAGACATTGTTGTTGTTGTAACCGCGCGAGAACTGCGGGCCGGCAAGATTGGACGGAGGCAACTGAACCATACCGTTCAGGCCGTTCATGCCAGTGTTGAGGTGGTCGGGAATGGCAGTGTACAGACCCGTCTCCTCGTTGGCAATGTAAGCTGGCTCAGATGTGATGCCAGTAGCAAGTTGTGGTGGGGTCAGGGGCTCAAATGAGATGCCACGGTTGCCGTAGTCATCGTACTGGGACGAGACGAAGGAGGGTGCCGGAGAGTATTCGAGAGCGTAGGCAGGCATGGACGCATGGCGTTGGTGGCCGGCAGCCACCGGGACGCCATTTTGGTTGTATTGGACGCGAGCAAAATCAGGTTCCCTCTTGACCACCTGCTGCGCCAGCGGGGGGGCCATCTGAATTGCTGCTGCTGCTGTCGTGAAAGGGACCATCGCATCCATGCCATCCGCTAAAGGGGCCATGGTCTGGGGGATCATTTGAGGCATCTGCGGCATCTGGGGAGGAGGCATGGAGTCCATCGCGCGAATGACGGGGGAAGCGGTCTGCGACTGGGGGAAGGACACCTGCTGCGCGCTGAACGAAGACGAGTTCGCCTGCTGGGCCTTGGTGAGCTGGTCATACAGCGACTGCGACGAATCGTACTGGAAAGACAGCGCGGGCTCGCTGACAGCGACCGTGGTGGCCTCCTGGCCCATCTTCTCGCGCTTCAGGTCGCGCTCAAGCGCATCGAGGAACAGGCGGTCGTGCGGGACGCTGTACCAGTAAAAGACCTTCTGCTTCTTTTGTGTCCGGATGCAGTTGTTCTTGTACAGGAAGTCCAGAAAAGGGCTCTTGGGCTCCTCAAGCGAAGCGTCGGTGCCCGACTTCAGATTCCGCAGGTCGGAGAAGATGCCCTCCTCAAATTTCTTCGAGTTCTTGACAGGGCGGCCAAAGGCTTGGAATCTGAAAGAAAGACACCGGACGATGTCTGTGCCGGAGATGTGGAAAAGTCCATTCCAGAGCACACACGACACATACTCGCCCGTCGGCAGAAGAAAGCGGCGAATGTAGTGCTCTGGCGGCCAGTCGACCGGGGCGGAAATGAGAAAGTATTTCAGGTTGTCGACCTGCTGCAGAGCGACCTGGGCGTCATGTGGCAATGCCTGCTGGGCTTCTGTGCTGAGCATAAAGGTCTCTGGCTTTTGAGGCGCCATGCCTGCATGCTGGGCGGCATACATCATGAACACCTAGAAAAGAGAAATTCAGAGAAGATGTTCGGTTTCGGCGTTTGAACTTGTTCTTGATCGCACAAGTTGACACGGGTCAAGACGCTCTGCTTGGAAGAAGATCTTTAAATCGCTGTGGACAAACCAGTTGTTGGGGTTCAAGCAGGTAGACGTGGGAAATATTCGAGGTCAGACAAATCGGTCAGCGACTGTCGAACGGTCGAAAGAAATAAGACAAATGAAAAATAACAAAATGGCAACAAGATGTGTTGCGTATATGGAGGCTCTGCCCTGTCTTGTGGGTTTTTTTGTTGCTGTGGTTGGAATATATAATGCGAATGTGTTATATGGCAAGAGAGAGTCAACGGAGTGGCGGCCTCTGAATGCAATGCTATAGGAGATATGACAATCGAGACCAGCCCGAAAAAGTGAGAGAGTCTGGGAAATGTGCTGCGGTCTGGAGCTTCAAGCGAATGACGCGACTGAAAAAAGATAATTATTCCGAGGTGTGAACCGTCAAGGCGCACTGACCAGGAGTAAGGAGAGAGACAAAGAGGGAATCGGTCTGGGAAGCAAGCTATGATGATTAGGTCGCCTTGCCGTTGTTGCGATGCTGGCCGAGAGCCGATGAAAGGCAATGCGAGCCAAGGATGTGCCGATGTGCGAGAAACAACGGGTTTTCGAACCGGACAGGTCACCAATCGAAAAGACGGTTGGGAGTAGAGGGCAAGGAAAAGAACGAAATCATATAAAGAGTTCAACAGGAATTCCCGAAAACGGATGCTGATCAAACAGGCAGAAGGCAGAGTTGGTGGAGGCTCGCTCGATGATGGTCAAGACGTGCGACGATGCGCGTCTGAAAATGTAGCGGGGATGAGCGTCGTCTTGCGGCTCGATCAATCCAGGGCCTGTCGTCGAGAAGGCTGGATGATGTGCTTCTGGAAGTGGAGAGAGATCAAGAAATTTTAGGAAAACGCTGCATGGAAGCTTGGGGCGATAGAAAGAGTCCGGCTTTTGTTTCGAAAAGCGTAGGGTTTGGGATTGAAGAATCGAAAAGGGGGTTCTGTCACAGAACCTCGAAAGAACAACAAAAAAGACAATCACAAGAAAATAAAGTAATAGGCAAGGTGAAAAGATGAGAAAGGGGAGGGGTTTGAGGTTAGAGAGAGGGACCTCCTTACACGCGATGACGAGAAAGGGGAGAAACGAGAAGAAGATATGAAGAGGATAGGAGGAGGAAGGGGGATGTTAAAGAAGAAAACGCTCTCGGGAAAAGAAGAGGGCCCTCTTTGGTCGATTGTGGAAGGAGGAGACGGGTGGGTTTATGATTTCCAAAGGCTGGGCTCGGGAAAAGCCAAAGGACGACAGGGTTGAGCACGGCAAGAACGAACGTGGGTAAACAGTGGAAGAGAGGGATGTGGGAAAGCGCGAGCGCAAGACGAGAGACATGGAAGAAGGAGCAGGAGAGAGAGAGACAGAAGGAAGCGCGACCAGAGGAGTGAAAGGGAAAGAACGGTCGGATGTGGGCGTGGATGGGCGCGAGAGGAGAACAGGGGTAGGCAAGCACGACTG